ATACAAAATATTTCCTCCCTCTGCCCTCCCTCTGTAGCGCACGTCACGTGCCTAGCTAAGCATAAAAACACCAGCAGTGACAGCAGGATAGATGGACGTGGTTGTTTTCATTCAAAAATGCATTCTAGATGTCGGAAGACAGCCGGCTTCTGGAAGAGGACCATTTTCAGTGAAATGGCAAGACAAGAAGTTCTGACCAAAGACACAGTTCTGACTGGGGGCGATGCATAAAAAAGTGTCAGTGGGTGGTTAGAGACAGCAGCTACACAGTTTTCATCACGCACCCATGTAACAGATGAAAGACCAGAGGTATAAAGCAGCCTTTAGAGGCAGAGGAGGAGCTGAGCAGGTAAACAGAACTCTAATGTTCTGCATACAGAACATTATACAACAATAAATAGCATTGGCCACAACAAGCAAAGACCTTGTATAACCTTTGACCTTGATCTGAGATGTTGAGCCTATGATGATGTAAAGGTCATGTGACACAGTGTGTAGTGGTGGTACTAATGTGCATCAAGTTTTTTACATGAACTTGAGCGGATCAGAACTTGTGGACAGGAGATGAGAAAGTTTATGGACGTACAGATCTCCCATAATACACCTCTCCTTTGATGAGCGTATAATGACACAAGCTGGTGTAAAAACAAAAACACACAAATAGAAATAAATGGAATGGACTGTACTTATATAGCACCTTTCTATCTTATCAAGACACTCAAAGCTCTTTACAACAATCTGAGCCTCATTTACCCGTTCATACAGCTCTATACTAGATCTGTACAAAGAATAATCAGAGCTTTATCACATCCATACACCGATGGGACACACATCAGAGACAGGGAGGGGTTCAGTGTCTTGTCCAGGGACACTTCAGCATGTGACTGCTGGTGGATTCAAACCCCCAACTCTTGCACTGGAGGACGACTGCTCTAACCACTCAGCCACAGCCCCAAATACTCAATAATATGACAGGAGGATAAAAAACAGAAAATAAACAACAAGACCTGTGGGAGGAAAGGGTTTGATCTGAAATGAGTCAGGGTGAGCAGTACACTGTACATACTGGAAGGAGTGATTATTGAGTGAGAACAGCTGAGGACTGAACTAATGTTAATGATCCACTGAAGGAAAGGAGGACTGAGGGAAATAACTAATGACACATCGAGGAAACGTACTGCAAACAGGAGAAATACAAATGAAACAACAAAGAAAAACGTGAGTGAATGTAATAAATAACAGGAATAAACCCAAGCAACGCCCCCACCCCCGGATCACCACAGATCATTCAACCTGAGTCCTGAAGGATTCCTGAAGCCTTTTTCCAACAAGGTGGTCAAGATGAACGTGAACTCATGCATGATGTGTCTCCTAAAACTTGTAAAGGCTGATTCCAACTTCCTGTATTGCATCCAACAATCACAGTGGTTTAAAACAGGTGTGTGTGTGTGTGTGTGTGGGGGGGTATTCATGAGGTTTGTTTGAAGCGCAGTAGTTTCATTCTGCTCACATGGGATCTGGTTATTTAAAAGGCAGATAAGGATGAAATAACAAGGATGCTGTGATTGTTTTAAATACACACACAGGATTCTGAAGTTGGGTTAAGACAGGGCTGTGTTTTCTTTACCAAAAAAGAAATGGGCTCAATAAGATATTAAACTTTTAAAATGCTGATTAATCAAACAGCGTTCAGTCAAACCTTTAGCATCTTTCGTCTTTTCTGCTTCACATCACAATAAAATATTATTCATCCAGCAGTGTCAGAGATAGACGAGCCAAAGGAAACAAAACAAAGAGACTGACAGGTACAGCCTGACATTTTGGTGACTGCTGTCTTGTTAACTCTCAGTTCCTGATGGTTTTGGCCGAGCCCTGGTCACATCAATAGACTGAGACAGATGACAGAAAACTAGGCCTGTCGTGATAAACAATAAATCAATTAATCACATGATAAATTAAAATTATCAACCTCATTTTCATTTATCAGCTTTATCGTTTCTTCGTGTCTCTCTTTCTACTGAAGACACTGGATGAAAAAGGCTCAACTCCGGTTCTTCACTGACCCCTCCCATTCTCTTTTCTCTTTAAAATCTGTTTTAACCGTCTAAAATCATGTTTTTGGATGGCTAAAAGCAGCTAAGCTGACAAGCTAAGCTGCAAGCTAAGCTAACACGCCGACCTCGGGAAAAAACCTCCGTCTTGTCAAAGCTCCAAAATTCACGGTTGAAACCCGTGCCTTTGTGTAAAAAGTTGTTTTTCTCTGAAAAAAGAAGCTGAGAACTTGTTTACTGATTATTTATTAAAAGCTTTGTGTGAAAAATGCTATGCTAAAGAGCTCAAACCACACTGAGTGTCCACCATTTTGAGAACCAAAGAGAGACAACCCATGTCACGTCAAGGGGTCTCCCTCCCATTTTTCTTAAAGAGACACGCTGCTCGCTCCCTCACTATCCATTCTTTAGTTCAAACAGTCTTATACTGCCATCCAGTGGTCAAAAAACGGTAGTACACATAAAAATTACCCAACATTTCTTCTTTAATTTAACAATAATTACTAATTATTGTCAAATTTCAAACAATTTTATCGTTTATCGCAATAATTTCTGAGACAATTAATCGCCCAGTAAAATGTGTTATCGTGACAGACCTACAGCAAACACTAACAGGTGTTCAGGGAAGGAAAGAAAATGTTTTGTATTGATCAACACCTCGTCCACTTGAGTCAAACAGACAAACAGTCTTTCTTATCAACGTTAGAGGAAACAGTCAGTGGGAGTAATGGACGCAGGCGCCGAGATCAGGCAGGAAAAACTGCAAATGAAGCTCTGGGGGTGAGTGCTGCTGCTGTCAGCCTCCAGGAACGTGATCAGAACCGTGCACGCACTCCGTGATTCGAACCGGAAACGCTCCCTCAAACTGCTGCTAAACGCAATCTGAAAACGTGTCCAGTCCAACAAAACAGATGGCAGCAGCTCCAGAAACATCAGTTCAATTGTGTCGTGGATTAAGCCTGGGAGAAAATCCATTAGCAGCGGCTGACTGTGCTCTGGAGCACAACCCAAACAACCGAGTGTTTACTTTGAATGTCTATCGACATCCTTCATACCAGCTCAGATTCATTTCAGTCGTGCGGCGGATACACTGCGCTCACAGACCAGGACAAGGTAGAGTGTTTTCTGAAGCAATCTTTAAATGGAGCAATTCTTCTTGAGGGCTGTCAAGGCCCGGCTGCCAGCGAAGGCAAACACAGACTTCTCTCATCGACCTGCATTAGTGGCTGAGTCACTCTCAGCCTTCACAATGGCATTCCTCAGCTCTGCACTGGACATGACTTCATGCAGCCAAAACAAGGGCTGCGTGCACGTTGTAAACGCTGCGTTAGTGACAGAGGCGAGACTAAGAGCTTCATAACTGCTGGAGGCCGGAGGAACAAGCTCTTACAAACAGTAATTTATGGGAGACTCTTACTTTGTTGCCATCTCCTGCTTGTATTTACACCTCAGGTCCAGCAGCTCTGTCTGAGCAGTATTCAAAGCTGGTGAGAGACAAAACACACGAAGTGAGAGATTATCTTAAAAAAACACATGAACCTTGACATTAAAGCTACATCACAGAATGAGTTCCTGTCTAATTCAAGAAGAACACTCAAATGTTTTCAATAAAAATGCTTGTTTGTGGTTTGAAAATAAGCAACACAGTGAAACTAGACAATTAAAGACAATAAATATATAATAATAATGAATTAAGCAAACAGCAACAGTGGGAAAGGAGAGTGGGGCAGCATAAAGCAAATACTACAAGAAAAGACTTTTTAATAAATCAGGTTTCAGTTTAACAGCTGCAGTGTGTTTCAGTGTTAAAGAACTTACATGAACGCAGAACTTTGATCTTCTCCTCGGCCTCTGATAGTCTGTCAAACAAACTAACATCAGCGCCCTCCTCCTCCTCCTCTTCCCCTCTATGAGAACAAATTGTCAGTTCTTTCTCCACATCATGGGTGCACATGTAAAGCTACAATAAAGACCTCAAGGCTGAAACATGATGTAAAAGGCATCAACCTCCTCCATCTTAGTGAGGCCATGTGTGATGATGGATGGATGGTTGAAGGATGGATGGATAGATGAATGATGGATGGATGGATGGATGGATGGATGGATGGATGGATGGATGGATGGATGGATGGATAGATGGATAGATGGGTGGATGGACGGATGATGGATGGATGAATGATGGCTGGATGATGGCTGGATGGATAGACAGATGGATGATAGATGGATGATGATGGATGTATGGATGATGTATGGATGAATGATGTGAATGATGGGATGGATGAATGGATGGATGGAT